AAAATATCAGTCGCACAATACCACTTAGGATGAAGTTTGGTGCGCATAATATTGATAACATAAGATCTTACAGTTCGTTGACCGGGAATAATCCTTGAAACCTGACTCAATTGAAGCTGTTTCTCTTCCTTTTCAACATACCATATCAGTCTTGTTTCATCCTGAAATTAGTCCATCAGAAGCAGTTGATGGATGATAATTTCAGAATGGGTTACAAAACCTCAGAGGAATACCCCTTATTTGAAGCAGAGAAATAGGACTCTTGTGTGTAAAAGAGTCTGTGTGTGGGGGGTGGGGGGGGTGAGGCGTGACTCGTGAGAGAGAGGGAGGGAGGGGAGAAGCAGCAGAACAAAGAAAGAAGCATAGAGCTGGCCTGGTGCCTAGGATGCTCTACACATTCTTCTTACCAAGTTCTAACACTTTAACTTCAACTCAATCCTCTCTTTTGGCAAGAGAAAGATATCACAGTATAGGAAAAGCAATTACACCAAGAAACCATGTAGCTTGAACAAAAGAAATATCAAATTGAAAGTGTTGAGCTTTCCCTATCCTACACTTTAAGGATTGGAAACCCAACCACATTTATTTCACCCCATCAGTTTAATATAAGTTGATGAAAAAAATATGCAAAATGATTGGGAAATAATGAACAATCTAATGCAAAGTTCATACAGTAGAAAGACGAAAAGGGCAGAACTTTGGCTTTCCTTTGCGTCCATACTTCAGTAGGTATGATCCTCTTTTTAAGGCTGTAATGGCCTGCAAGTTGCAAAAACAAGGATCTGTAGGTTGAAGATAACAAGCAAATCATATATAAAAATTTAACCGTATCAGCAACAGATACTCCCTTATTCCTCAAATTAATAATCTTGATTTGTAAGGTTATTACGAGACTATAAATTTTCCACTATTTAACAAGGGAAACTTAAAGGTCCAAATCTTAGTTTCTAGAGTTCTAAAGTGAAACAGGGAAAGAAGTCTGTTCAAAAGAGTGAACATGGAATCCATGTAACTATTTGTGGAGTATAATATAACTGACAATTTTCTGCTAAAATAAATTTGGAATTGAACTGAAAAGGAAAGTTCTATATACAGCATGAAACAAAGGGATTATTATTTTGCTAATGCGGGAGTGGAAGACAGACTACAACAAAAATAGTGCAAATTTATAAGCTCTTTTTATCTGACATTCCACACCAAGAAAATATGTGCTAAAATATGGCACTCAAAATGGATCTAATTGTGACAGCAATGCTAGCTTTTATCTCCTTTTTAACAGAGAATAACTTTTTTAGATATCTATAGAAGATAATCACATTACATGTTCTCCTGAAAAAAAAGAAGCAAACTGGTCGTTTTATAAGTAAATCAATTAATAACATGCAGTAAAGTAAATAGGTATCGGTGGTGGAGCCACCAGAAAAAGAAATAGCTAAGGATCCTTTATGTTATCTAAAGTTTGACTTCTAATTTTAAATTTATGGTCATAATGGATATACTGCTGCTTATTGCAGGTATTGGGAGCAGTTGTTAATATATGAATTTGCAAGGAACCTTCTCTCTTTTTGCATCATCCGTCTTGATAAACAAATATAATGTAAAGGTCTGAAAGCAAAAACATAGGTGTTGATGTAATTATTGTCATGGTTCTATTCATTGCATGATTAGGTGAGCCAGAAGGATTACTGTACTTCTATTACCTGCAGTTTGTATTCTTTTCCTTTATTGACTAAATGATACAAACATTTATAGTGTTATTTCGCAATAAGAAGCCAACTTTCTCATAATGGTGTGAGAGTTTTTTTGTTCTCAAAAAAGACCTATTCCTGGGGGAAAAGGAGTTTTAGGAAAGCACAATGTGGGGCTGTTACAGTGAAACTAATTGTTTGCCCTTCTTCAATATCTGCTCTATTCTAAAGCAGCAATAAACAGAAAAATTTAGCAATAAACATCACCTGTTCCACACTCCTCTCTCCAAGACTGTTCCTCTGTACGTTGTTCATTAAGCTGTTATATGAACTCTAGCACTTTGATCATGACAATACCAAACATCTGGTAGCTGGCAAAAGAGCCCCCATAGTTCCTCCATAGGATGACTTCTACGTACAAGAGAGTAAGGATACTAATATCATACAAACTATTTCAGAAGAACCAAAAAACATGAGTAAGCATAAAATAAGGAAAATGGTTTTTGGAAGCATCTCAACACGAACTATTAAGAAATGGCATTTTTTTCCGAAAAAAAATGATTTAGATTACTTTCCACTAGTAGTATCACCTTATCAAACAAATTAGTTGCATCAACTACATTTAAACAAAATATCCTAGCATGTAGCAATTACATCTAAAATCTAAGCAAAACCTCCTTGAATATCCCGAACTACTACTGTTCATGACAACATCCGCGTCCTATTTAATAGTACTCAACAACACAACTCCCTAAACTATAATCGCGAATACATATCAATATCACGTAAAAACATTATACCAAAAAAAAACATACACCTATATTTTCCGTTCAAAATTCAGCAGAAAAACAGCATCAGAACCAACAAGGAGCAAGGGTTTATGTCAATGCGAACCAATTTACACACGTTTGAACAGTATATTTAACAGAAACACAGCGTTAATTTAGTAAACAAAATTCAAGGAAAATGATAACGAAACTCATAGTTTGTGCTTCCACTAAGATCAATACAGGTAATTAAAGAGCACACTCACTGTCAACCGAGGTCGATTCTGGAAAAATTCATAAGAATTAGAGGAACGAACAGAGGAAATACGAACGGAACTCAGAAGCGTAGATTTTCGATTTGATAGCAAAAGCGAAGCCTCAGTAGATTTCTCTATAAGCAAAATTTGTCGGATCGGAAGGTGCGGAAGAGAAATGAGAATTTGGCAGAGAGTTTTGTGAGGAAATTAGTGTGGTTTTTACTCTCTCTCTCTCTCCTTTAACTGTGAGCAGTACGAAAGTTATTGCGTGTGATCGAAATGAAATATATACGTAGCAGGGAATTCTTTTCTTATTTGGTGGTTCAATGGTGAAATTGTACCTTTGTTGATGCCACGTAGTCAACGAAATATGAATCTGTTGCGGCAAGATAGTGGGGCACTACTGTTACCTTTTCTGTTTTTCTCAGTTATTTCTCCAATCAACTAACTTCCCGCCTATTTATTCCCACTTGGGTTTGTTATCTCTACCTTCCTATTATACATTACTTTTTCTGGCATATTTCTAACATTTAAACAACTCCATCTTTTACTGTAATTTTTTTTATATATATATCTTTTAAATATTTTGAATTATAATATTTTTTACGCTATTTTCAAATATGTAATTTCATTTCAAAAAACTAAATTTTTCCATGCCCGAATTTACGATCAAATTTGAATTATTTGACACATAAATTGATATAGTAAAAGTATATTACCTTTCAAAAATGATTTATGACATAAATATTTGTAGTCATAGAAATATTATTACTGTACGTACATGTTTTAAGATCTCAAATCCATTTTTTTTTCTTTATAAATTTTAGGTCGACTGAAATTGTATTTCATAAATTAAAATAAGGGAAATAGTAGTTGCGGAGTCACATTATTTTTCAATCGATTTTAACATTGTTTTCTTCTCTTCTCTTAGCATTTATTTATCAAGCTAAAGGATTATTACCTCTTTAACAATTTATTACGCTAAAGGATCTTTTGTGAAAAGAAATAGAATGTTCTCCTCTCTTTTGCTTATAGAGAGAGGCGGGCCTTTAGATCCTTCTTTTGTGTAATAATTTCCACAGTGTAATAGTACTAACATATTTCATACTAAATTCCAAAGTTGGAATAATTAGATGTAGAATTTGTAAAAAGATGTTGTATAACAACTATTCCTTTCACTCCATAATGATGTATGATTGTATTTAGCCAAACATAGAGTCAAACATATATATATTTTATTGACTAGTATAATATAGTGATGAATTTATGATAATGGAATTAGATATAAAGCAATGATTGAAAAGTTTGTTTGATAGAGAAAATATTGTATCAATTAATATTTAGAATTTGAAGATTTTAATGGATTTAAATTATTTAATTTGTACAAAATTAAAAATTGTCAATTTTGGGACACCCCACATCGAATGGTTTGTTGTATGACATCATACAAGGTATTAAGGTAATGCATGTTTAATGAGTGGTTCTCTTTTACAAAAATAAAAATGAACTATCAAGACAAATTTAAAAACATTGGGTAAACTGAACTTCAATATCAAACCAATTGGGATTTACTGTATATCTTCTTTCAACGCTTTACAATAATCAAATTATTTATTTAAAACAATCTAACAAGATGGGCATTTGGTCTAGTGGTATGATTCTCGCTTAGGGTGCGAGAGGTCCCGAGTTCAATTCTCGGAATGCCCCCATAATTTTTCTTTTTTCTTTTTGTCTTTTTCTACCACTATGTTTAAACTTTAAACCAACTTCTTATTTTATTTTTTTGATTCACTTGGTATTTAATTTGCAAGATATTCTATTTTGTTGATACTTAATTTGCAAGATATTCTAAATTTTTTGTGTTTTTCTACCACTATGTTTAAACCAACTTCAACGTCTACCAAAAAGTTAATAAACTTATCTGACCAAAGGTCCCAATACCTCTCTAGATTGACAAACAAAAGGATCACCGAGTAACAAAGAAAAGTTGAAGACCATTATTGAAAAGTTCAAGTGCCTAATACACTTTCAGGCTGCTCCAGTTTCCTGTGTCAAGCGGGAGTACAACGCAGCACTCGCTTGCGTATTTTAAAAGTTGCGTTAAGTCAGGCAAACAATCAACTCCACTCAGACTTCGCTAGTGATCAGAGTAATAGAAAGCCAAAGTTTTGAATGTGATGAAATCTCCTAATCCAGCTGAAAGATAAATAGAGCGACGATTCTCATTATCACTAACAAACTGCTTGAAATTAACAATTACAGACAGTATCTAGTCTAGGAGAAAAGACTCGGTGACAAGGATGAGTAGTATTAGTTTATAACATACATAGGTTAGAGGATTGTGAAAAACTCTATAAAACCAAAGATAGTAGTCCACACGGAGAAAGACCAAACATCAGTTTCAGGGAACCTCTTTACAACATCAGATAGATCTCTGCCTTCCCTCAAGTAGTGGAGCAGCAGAAACCAAACAAAAAGAACTGTAGTGATCAAGGCTCAGTATCTGTAGTCGTCATCATAAAACACGTAATTGCTGGTATGGGTCTTTCTTTCTCCATCAGCCTGCAGGGAAATAAACTGAAATGAGCCACTTCTTGAAACCATGAATTTTGCAATTTCAGAATAGTCACTTGGTTTCTATCAGTCTGACATTTCCTCAAAATATAAATAACACAGCGAACTGATTAGCATACCTTGTGAATCATCTCCTCAAATGCTTGGGTTCCATGTTCTTTTATGTATTTCTCTGCAGCAGTCAGGATGTCATCTGGCTTACTAAAGACATCCTTCTTTCGTGGCACATACCAGATGTTAACTGCTTTTCGTTGGACAATATAAGTCCTAATATAATGCTCATACACATACGCAGCACCATTGAAGTAAGGTATGACCAACCAGCAGGTCGCTATCAGTTTTGCATATGACCAGAAAGGAAGCCTGACATAGAAAGTGAATAAAATATATAATGAAAAAAATCCAGATCTGGCATTCGGAAAAGATTTAGTGATCATCTAAACTCACTAGAAGCAAACTGATATAAAAGAGATTCATGTACTATGCCAAACAAATGTGTTTCCATCAATCTGTTTTACTCACTTTTTCCCTTCAGTGTTCAATGGGCTTCTTCAGAAAATATGATGAGTTCGAAAGAAAGGGACAAATATGATGAGAAACATGACCCATAGTTAAAAGGAAGAGCGGGTGAGGGGGAGAAAGTGTTCCTAACCTTAGCTCAATATGAAAGTACCTTGTGCTCCAACATATCATTTCAACCAAGGTAAGGTCAACTACACCATCACCAGCTCATTTTTGCGTTTATCTTGACTATCCAGTTTCTTATACAACCATATTCACAAGAAATTGTCAAGCAGATAGTTATTAAGATCACTGCTCTTGCTTCAAATACACTAGTGAAGACTCCACTATATGAGTACTAACCCACTTGGAAATCATTCAAAACTTTTGTCAATCATGACAGCTGCTCCAAGATGTCACTGTATATGATTTCAAAAGAACATTTACTTAACCATCAGAATCATTTTCACCTGGCCTAACAATGTTTCAAGCATAATTACTTTGTGACCCCATTTTTTCTATGACTATAATTTGTAGAAGGACTGTTGACTTACTTTTCCTACTCCTAATAGCAAACTGCAATCAGGAGATGATCTTTCTCTTTCTTAGGTAGTGTGTCATCACTCATCACTTGTTCGACAATCTACAACACCAAACTTTTTTTGTTTTCTAATAACCATTGTGTCAGAGCCAACTAGTGCGCACCTTGACTAATTCCACGGATACCTACTACCTCTCACCTCACCAACACTTGTACCAAGTAACTGTGTCCATCAAGGCTTGAATAGATGGGAAAAAATCACCTAGTGTTAAGTCTCTATCTACCAAGTTAGTAAAACTTAAAATCGTCGTCACATCATCACATAAAAGTGTATAGTAATTCAAAGTCTTATTCTTCTATGACAAATAATTAGAGACTAGGATGGAACCAAATTAGATTTGGAAATGAAATGCTCAAAGGCTTCATGATTACGAAAAGTCACAAAAGGTTATTCACAACTATCATCTGTTTTTCCATCTCATCCCGACCTAAGGAAAGCCAAATTTAATAATTGAAATAACCATGGAGAACATAAATCCCCAAAAGGAGAATAATCGTAGTGCTCCATCTACAAGCGATAAACAGACAATTACTTCTCCTTCTCACGGAATTTGAAAAAGACCAACCGAAAAGAATACACAAGTCTCAACCGAGCAAAAATTACCATTCAATAAGCTTGGCAAACGTCAGCTCAAAAAGTGTAATCATAGAATACAAAATCCAGTATGTAAGCCATTGCTGATCATCCACGGGGGATTTGGTCTCAATAGCCCTAATTGAAGCATACCTGTCAAATAACCCAAAACCCAGTACCAAAACATCACATATGAAGCCATAAGGCAAAAAAAAAAAAAAAGAGTAAATCAGCAAGTGTGAACCCACTTACAGAGGATACACCAAACTAACCACCGGCCTGCAATTTCAAACGCACAAGAGAAAACAAAAATTAGCTTCACAAGAATAAATTACTCCTAAATTGGTCCATCATCTATGAATTAACTAGGGAAAAAAACACAAATACTAAGAAAAAGGAGTAGGTATCGAAGATTGAGGAAGAAGAGATACCCAGCAAGAACATCAAAGTTGCTGATTATGACCTTGAGTAAGCTTACTATACCTCCTCCAGATCCTCCCATTTTGCTGAACTAAAAAATTACTAAAATTATGAGTTGTAAGTCTGAGATTTGCAGTGGTAGTTGCAGCAGCAGGAGATGGGTGTAGATTTGGGAGATGAGAATGAGAGTTAGTGCTTTGTGTGTTCAGAGAAGAGTAAAGTTACAGAGACTTCTCGCCTGTCGTTTATATTCCAAAAGAAACAAAATAATGCAGCTAGTGTGTTTCTATTTTTCTATTATAACTACTTCCTTATACTTGTGTGCGCCCATTAATTTCTAGATAAATTTTGAATTCATTATATTGTGTTAATTTTATTTACTTTATTAAATAGAAATTAATCAAACAAATTAAATATTATTCCTTAAATTTAGATTTTTAATATTATATTATTACTTCTTTCATTTCAATTTATGTGACATCATTTAATTATTTACGAAATATAAGAAAAATAGATAGACTTTTGAAACTTGTGAAATAAGTTTTAACTATTTATATGATCGTAAATTATTTCATTAAGAATAAATGAGTTATTTTAAAATATAAAAATATGACTTTTTTTTTTTGGTAGACTAAATTCATTATAGTGAATCTGCTTTACTAATTATCATTTTCAGTTAAAGCCATGATTGGTACATTATAATGTCCATATCCGGAGAAAAATTATTTCCACTAGCAAAAGAGAAGGAAGAAATTAAGAAGGGAAAAAACTATTTCCACAATAACATAAAGTTGAAAGCTAAAAAGTATGAATATAATTTTGGCTCCATCTGTTGTGCAATTATTTTGCCTTATACTTGCTTCTCACGTTTCCCTTCTCACTTTTGATCTCTTATTGTAAATTAAAAACTTCCCCACGAAAAAAAATTAAGGTCAAATTAACAACATCATAATATTATGAAAAAGGAAAAGAAGAGAAAAGGTAACTAGAGTCTATAATTAAATTCACTGTATGTGGGGGGTAACAAAAAAAGCGAACTTCGTTAGAACTTAGGTAGTCTAGTTTGATTGTTATTTTTTAATCTTCAGTTTCACAAGAATTATTTTTCAAACAATTACCATGATTTTTTTCTGCAAAAATATAAAAAGAAATGTTTCTTGCAGTAAACACCTCAGGTTCGAGTGGAGAAACATCATGTTGGGAGCGTCATTTTTAAATAGACCATGTATGCGATTCAAATTTAATTGAAGCTCCAATACGAACTTCGAACACCAAAGCGGAAAAAACACTTTCACGTTAAAAGATGAGTTGGCTGAATAAAAAATTGATAATATACGTGCGACCATCCAACAACTCAACCAAACTTTGCGGGACTTGTATATTTGTCCCTTCCTACCCATTCTTATTTTACACAAAAGACCATTTTTGGTAGGTTCTAGTGAAATCCCAACTTAAAACAAGTGAGTGCAACTGTGCAAGATCTCAAATGAGAAAACCTACTTCTTATTTTGGGATAGGTTTATTAAAATAGTCCTTTAAATATATTTTTTTAAAATTTAAAACATTTTTTTTATCTTCAAAACACGAAGCAACTTTGTATATACTTTAACCTTTCCAAACATCACTTTTATAATTATAGTGTGTTTTGTTATTTTTAATAGTTTATACTATCAAAAGTGAGCATATTTTAACTTATCAAAATTGTCAACATTGTAAAACAACTGTTGTTTCCCCTCAATTTCTATTTAATTTAATAGAAAACATCTGTTAAATATTTGACGAAAACTGAAATCGCGTTTTATAAATTTAATGGAAGGACAAAAATACTGTAAAAAAATATATCCAAGTGACTATTTCAAACTAACTCCCAAACACGAGACCAATTCTGTCATTTTCTTAAGATTTCTACAATAATAATGATACTTGGGGTCGTTTGGTACAAAAGATCAATAATGCAGGGATTAGTAATGCAGAAATTGGTAATGCATGGATTAGTAATGCATAGATTATTTTTATCAAGAGATTGATTCATTGTTTCTTACCTAGTTTTGTGTGTGGTTTAAAACTCTACAAAAAAAATTCTTTCCAATTATACCCTTGAGTTATTATGGGATTTTCTATTTCATGTAATTGGGTCAAGGTAGATAATTGACAGATAATATTTATTTTTATAGCATTTTAACTAGCTAGGAGAATAAAATTTTTATTGTCATGTTCACTATTTTCTCACTTAAATTATTTGAGAGTAAATAATTGTCATCTTAAATAAATTGGAGTTAATATCTCAAAAGGTCACACAACTATAATAATTTATAGAGAAAATTTATTGAAATTTGTTTTGTATCAATAAATTAAAAAAAAAACTCTTTATCATAAAATAAAATAAATATAGCAAAATAAATTAAACTATTTTTATACTCGAGATGTTTTATATATATATATATGTGTGTGTGTGTGTGCGCGCTCTTGTTTTAGACTACTTGTGTAATGTTTAATGGACTTACGTTAAGAGGCAATATTTGACTTATGAATTGTTCTTAAATTCACACATCAACATTAGCATATTAGTCAAATTATAATATTTTATATAAATAATAAATAGATTAAATAACTCGTATTTTAGAAACAAAAAAATATATCTAAATAATAAAATTTGTAAGCTAATTTATTTAAATAAATTTAAAATATAAAACATAAAATCAAGAAAATAAACAAAATGATTAAAAGGATTTGAGGGGGTATTTTTGTCTTTACCTAGATTAGTCCCATGGTATTAGAAGTTTAGAACTAATACCACCAAATGAAAGGTATTAGTTGTACACCCTATAATACCATGTAGGGTGTATAACTAATCCATGGATTGATTATACATAGACCCAAAATTTCTACCAAACATAGTACTAAATAATACCACACATAATACTTGGACTATTTCTCCTAATACTCCCTACCAAACGACCTCTTAAAGTCAATTCTCTGTCTCCTACCTTTGTCAAAATAGAAGGGACTAGGACTAATTTTGGCCACCTTAGAGAAACCCAGAGCTTGAAAATGACCTCAACAGTAAGAACATTGTTAGAGTTCAACATCAAAATCCATAGATGTCACGTCAAGCGCCTACTTACAGGTTTTGTTTACCAACATATTTCTGTATATCTAACACTGTTATGGTATGGTTGATCTCAACTGATACTACCTCGATACTTGACAGACAAACTAGGTTATTGCTGATCAAAATACAACAAAAAGGTTATATACAATGGAGAGCTGCAAGTCCAAAGTATTGCTGAATCTGCTGCTGCTGCTGCTTATCGTCTAAATCTACATTACCTAACTAATTATACATGCCATTCCCTATGAACGAATGTCTCGTTTCTACTAGACTACTATTATTATGCACCATCTTGAACCTCCTGTCGCAACAACTGAGGCCTCTTTTCAAGGATTTGGGATGGCCATACATCATTTGGAGTGGGGTATCTGGGCTGTGGTTTCTTCACAGTAGATGTGGGCATAGCCATGGAATCTGCAGCATCAGGCGCTGGATAAGCCTGGGGATTAGAACTCAAGGGAAAGACGAACACAGGGTTCATCATCTGTGACTGCTGAAATGCGTGCTCTGAAGCAGGCAATCTCATATAGTTAGTTTGTGAGGCAAACTCTGTGTGATGAATTTCAGGAGGAGCTAGATTTAGGTCAAGACTAGTCTCAGCTTCCCTTGCTTTGACCTCAGTCTGCAGTTTGCTAATTTCAGCCTCTAGAGCTGTATTTTCATCCTCAAGCTCCTTTTTCTCCACGCTAAGCTGTCAATAAGACAGGTTTAGTGACTGCAGAACTAGAAAAGAATAACAGCAGAATATGTGTGAAGCTGTAATGTATAGATTGCAACTGAGTGGATCAGACATCCTGAATGAGGAATGAAGGGAAAAATCAATCATTCATAAAAAAATGAATCCCACCGTCTTATTATTACATCATTTTTTGGTATCTTCCTTGAGTTACTGGAGAGCTCAGATTAGATAATTAGAATGCCGGCTCATTTCAAGGGGGTGCAACTCTTCTCAGTTTGGACCTCATATTTATCCTATTTAGTGTATATACCATGTCCGTATAGTGGCACAATGTTCTATGTGAATCCAGGTTCGAACTTCAAAGGACATTAAAAAGAGAAAAAATGGGCAGCATCTCCAAGCTGGCAAAACTCCCAGAAATTAGGACACTTACATATTGAGATTCAGACAGCAAAGTTGTATTTTCTGTCCTCATATGCTTGATCTGAGAAAGCATGTCCTTTACAAATCGAGCAGCTTCACTCAATACAGAGGCTTTTCCATTCATCTGCTCAGATAGTTCTGCACCAATAAGGCACACCCATGTCTAATAAATTAGCCAATCTATTTACTGAAAATGTACACTAGAGGAACCACTTCCGGGGATTTGTCAGAGGTGGACATGGGAAAGTTATAAGCAATCAAGAAATTACCAAGAGCATCAGCCAAACCAAGAAAAAGCTCATTCAGATGCTCTCTCTTCATTTTCTCTCTCTCAGCTTTGTGAATTCTTTTTGGAACTTTCTTCTGAATCTTCTTCCCTAGATGAGAGCTGTAACAAGAGAACTTTACAATCAGTACTCGTATAGATATGCCACTGATAATGATGCAGAGAGCAGTCAAAATAAATACATGAACTGAGTACACAAATTATTACTGTATTTATCCTGAGATTTGGGAACTTTTATGAGGATTCAAAGATATGAGAATAGAGTTATGAAGAGGCAGAAATACATTCTCTAAATTTTGTGAGGAACTTTTGCAAGTTAGTCAATGAGACAATGTCTACAAACGAACAAGGTATGGTTCTGGGCTTTTTATAATGTGTTAAACTTGTGGAAAAAAATTGTTGCTGCCTAGCTGGTATCATCAATCACAAAAAGATCCCTACCGAGCTGACCAGTATGCCAGCTAACTCACATGAGATTTCTCTAGTATCAAAAGAAAAAAGGATCCCAGCAATACAGAATAATTTTTTCTCCGTCCATGGAGGCATAAATCTGTTTCTCTATCTACATAAGGGGTCAATGCCCTTGCAAATTTAACAAAATCAGAAGCTAAGCTTTGAATAAGAAGCAATTTTGGCATCAAACTTGCATGAAAAATCACATCCCCAGGAAGTTGACAAGCTCAAATGGGGATACCAAAAAGAAGGAATTTATACAATCAAGGCAGAGTACCAACAATTATGCTCTAGAAACCCCATGATAGAC